GTTTTTTTTTTTTTTACAATTACATATAAGGGAAGTAACTTTTCATGTCCTAAGATAACCTTTCATTAATTATGAATTTACATAACTTCCAAGGAACGGGTACTTCAGCTAGTAAATAAATAATGTGTCAAACTAATAAACTTATATGCTTGTATCTGCATATCACAGTTTCGTTTATTCACCAACACTATTGAACAAACTTTGTGATCTCTATGGTTACCTTATTCGGCTAGAAATATTTCGAATTTACCTAGCGGTCAAAAACAGATTTATTTGTAAAAGAAGGTTTAAAAAACTCAACGTTTATTTCAACTATTCATTAAGAGATAGTTTGTTTGTTTGTTATGGATTTCGCGCAAAGCTACACGAAGGCTATCTGCGCTAGCCGTCCCTAATTTAGCAGTGTAAGACTAGAGGGAAGGGGGCTAGTCATCACCACCCACCGCCAACTCTTGGACTATACTTTTTTACCAACGACTAGTGGGATTGACCGTCACATTATAACGCCCCCACGGCTGAAAGGGCGAGCATGTTTGGTGTGACGGGGATTCGAACCAGCGACCCGCAGATTCAGAGTCGAGCGCCCTAAGCACCTGGCCATGCCGGGCCTATTAAGAGATAGAGAGACGTTAATCTTGCTCTAGCTGTCACGTGATCTTATTTGTAGCTGAAGCCTTATTATTATTTTAAATTATCTACACTAGTTGAGTAACACTCACGAACCATTCTAACTGTCACATTTTTGAACACTTATAATTGTTTACCAGGTTATAAATATTTTAACCCTTTTACCTAAGCATATTTTTACATATGTTTCACTCTTAGATCATAAATTAATTCCAGTAATATATATTTTTTACCTTTCCAGAGGCCTTTGACTCCCTCCTGTTGTCCAATCAGCCGATAGGCCTGTATTGTTCCTGTGTATCTTTTAGGGGTGCCCGTAACCTGGGCCTGCATCCTCACCTTCACCACATCCGTTGGTTGAGCACACATGACAGCCATTCCTCCTGTGGTAATCCCAGCGAGAATACGGACAGTGACACCAGGGGAGGAAGACTGTTTATTTGAACCTGAGGAATTTAAAATCTCTCCATTAATAAAGCCAGCAATAGTTTCTGGTAATATAAATGTTTTTGCTATAGCCAATATCCAAACAATATATATATATCTCAGTCACCAGTCAACACTATATTCAATTTAAATAACCTAAAAATAAGAGCTGTAAAAATTATCAAAAATAAATTTTTATATCGTGGCAGAGTTTCAGTTGCCACGGGAAAGGAGCTTTCCCCAACTGGGCATGGACATGTGTATCTCCCCCTTCGCGTTAGTGAGTTTATTTATTTCACGTGAAGGATTGCTGTAGTTTGTTAGGAGAAGGTTAGAGTTGTGGTTAATTTAAAGGCGAGAGCGATTTTTGGTTGTGTTCTGCAGTATGTAGCATAACAGAGGAGGCAGAGTTGATGCGGCGAACGTAGTCCCGGTCATCGATTGAAAGAAGCAAGGCGACAACGTTCGAACAAACCATCCTGAAGGAAACGGTTCCGGTCAGGATCACACTTTTCTTTTAAGTGTGAAATATTTTTTGAGTCTGTCGAAATAAAATGTAAACTATGTTAAACATATTTATGTAAAAGTTTCGTGTCTCGGCTAGAGGTTTCAGAAATATCATAAATACCACATCGTTGTAAATCCGTAGACTTACCCGCTGTCCCACCCTAGGACCAAGTATTCAAGGACTTGCGAGTTAATTACACAGGTCTGCGAATTTAAATTCATAAAAGTTGTTTTGGTTTTAACAACGGATTTCCCATAATTCAGCTACGCAGATTTCGAAAATATACTCATTTTTTCTATGACGTAAGGATTTTTTACAAATCGGGAAGAAAAAAAAACCCTACTTAGATCAAATTATTATTTCGTTTACCACAATAAACATTTTTATTATTATGTTTGTTAACAA